TTTTTCCATGTAGATTAGGTGGGTGCGACAGTGGTCGATGGATGGCAATCATCTCTTTGCACAAAGAGAAGTATGGACACTGGCACTCCAAATGCAAATCAAATGCGTCGTTTATTGACTCTCATAGGTTAGACTTAGGACCGCACTACACAGAGGGGCCTTGATGGGGCAGTGTGGCTTTCACATATTCTACAGAAGACGTGTTTTTAACCTTAGTGGTTAGACAGGTTTTTGTTTTTTTGCATGCTGGCTGGTGAGTGTGCTGGCAAATGTTTTACTGTTGTACTCTATAGCTGTTCCATGTGCACCTTGCTTGGAAGCTGGTTATGAGTTGATGAGTGCGTTTGCCATTTGTTTTGCTTGACTGATTTGGTGCAGTGACACACTGGGGGTCTCAGCTGCCGTTGTGATGTGCGGGGTCCCCTGTGTGTCCCTGTGCCTTTAAGAAGGTTGAGCTGCCTCCTGGCGAACCTGCACCGAATTTGATCTTTTAACTTTCATAGGTTAGAGTTAGGACCGCACTACACAGAGGGGCCTTGATGGGGCAGTGCGGCTTTCACATATTCTGCAGAAGACGTGCATCTAAAACCTCTGTTTTTAACCTTAGCCGTTAGACAGGTTTTTTTTTGCATGCTGGCTGGTGAGTGTGCTGGGAAACATTTTGCTGTTGTTTATTGACGTAGATGCAGCAGATCACATTCAGTGCAACGTTTCGGGGTCACGCAGGACCCCCTTCTCAGGCAGGACATGTGATGAGTTTAAACAAGGTGACAACTTTCTAATGGGGACACATAAAACGGTTAATCTTGATAGAGGTCGCAACCCTGCTCCACCCATTCAGTGATGTAACAGCCACGCAGGGGGCAATGAGGCGTGGGGTTGGAAGGGTCCCCATTTGTGGGGCTGTTGTGTGCATGTGAAGATAACACAAATCCATCACTGTGTTAATAATTTATTAATTAGTAGCAGAGGTTGCTCTTGACACTGACCCTGTACGTGCCGAAGACTGCAACGGAGAAGGCGGGTGCAGAGACGGCGATGGAGGAGGCGGGAGGCGTCGCCGAGGCTCCAGTCGGGCAGCGAAGATGATACGATTGGGCGCCGAGGCAGCGGAGGAAGCTGGGTTTCCCGTGCAGGTAGGAGGACTGTTCTGCCAGGGCCCAGCATAGATTCTGCACAGCCCACCAAAGAGTCTCAGGATCTGTGGGGGGCTTTGCAGGATCTGAAGGGGCTCTGCAGCCAGCAAAGCCCACCACAGATCCTGCACAGCCCAGTCTGCAGGATCTCAGGGGGTCTCTGCAGGATCTGTGGGGGGTCTCTGCAGGATCTGTGGGGGGGGGCTTTGCAGGATCTGTGGGGGGCTCTGCAGCCTGCAAAGCCCACCAGAGGTCCTGCACAGCTCCCCTGAGATCCAGCAGACTGCAGGGTCTCAGAGTTCTCTGCAGGATCTGTGGGGAGCTTTGTAGGATCCGAAGGGGGCTCTATAGCCTGCAAAGCCCACCACAGATCCTGCACAGTGCCCCCGAGATCCTGTAGACTGCAGGGTTTCAGGGGGTCTCTGCAGGATCTGTGGGGGGCTTTGCTGGGTCTCAGGGGGGCTTTGCAAAATCTGTGGTGGGCTCTGTGGTGTCTATGGTGGACAGAGCCCATTACTGATCCTGCACAGCCCCTCTGAGACTGCAAGGGGACTGTGCAGGCTCTGTAATGGCCTGTGGGGGGCTCTGCAGAGTCTTAGGGGGGCTGTGCAGGATCTGGGTTGGTCTCTGCCCACCACAGACCTCCCAGAGCTCACCACAGATCCTGCAAAGCCCCCCTGAGACCCTGCAGAGTCCACCACAGATCCTGCACAGCCCCCCTAAGACCACAGCTTTCCTGCAACGCTAATAGCGCAACATGTCAATCGATGGATACAGCGTGTGAACTGTATCCAGCGACTGACAGGTTACGCAAAAAGTATTAAAACAGGAAGGGGTGGGGCAAATTTAGTAGGGGTGGGGCACCCGAGTTTTGCCTTGCCTAAACCAGAATACACCATTGCCTGTGACATTTGCGATGCGCTGCACAAACTGTTGGCGCTATATAAATTCTGTATAATAATAATTTCCAATCAACAAGAGCTGATTTTAGAAGTACAGGAGAAAACTTTAGAAATGTTGTTGCTAGTTCCAGGTCCCCTTTGCAGCCTGTACAGTAAAGTAGGGTATACACGGTTAGAATTTCAGAACGGACGAACGGAACTGAATTCTGAACATTTGTTCAACTTTCTAATGGTTGATGTGGTGAAATTGACTATTGATTTCAACCAAACTGACAAAAAAATTTGAAGGAGCGTGTTGAATTTGTGAAATTCAAACAATAAATGTGGTTTTCGTTCGGAAAACACCATTAATTCCAAAATCAAATCTTTAAAAAAAAAAAAAATCAAACAAAATTTTAAAGGAGAGTTGGCAAGTCCCTGATGGCATTATCGAACGAATTTGAACATTCATTCGAAAATCTACCTGTGTATACCCTACATATACATGACTCTACGGGAAGCTTCTAGTGCTTAGATTAGATCAGGGCCGCCATCGGGGGGGTACGGCCGATACTTTTGTAAGGGGCCCGGGCAGCCTGGGGGGCCCGTCCGGGACCCTTACGTGAGTATCGGCCGACGATGACAGCCAGGCGAGGAGGCAGTCGGGCCCGAGTAGAGGCGGACCTACCGTCGGTGCCGCACCGGGGCCTATAGCTAGGGGGGCCCACTGACGGGTAGACAGGGCTGGAGGGCAGCCCGATGCAGGCTGAGCGAGCCGCGGTATATGGCAGGCCGGGCAGCACGGACGCTCCAGCGCTGTCAGTCTAATGCCGGTGTTCGGAATCTGCCTCTTATGCAGTGTCACAAGCCCCGCCCCTTCAGACCATGTGGCCAGCATAGTGTCGCGCTCTGGCAGCACTACAGTTTGTAAGGTAAGCCACTGGGTGGGAGGGGGGGTGCAGAACTGCCCACAGTGTGCTGTTTTCTTTTAGAAAAATGGATCATAATAGGGAACATTACAGTGTAATGTTCCCTATTATAATCCATAATCCATTTCTATATCCCAGTGCTGAATTAAATATTGCAGTCCAGTGCGTTGCTACGTGAAAGGTCCAATGCGTTGCTACGTGAAGGGCTCAGTGCGTTGCTAAGGGCAGGATCCAGTGCGTTGCTAAGTGCAGGGTCCAGTGCATTGCTAAGTGCAGGGTTCGGTGCGTTGCTAAGTGAAGGGTATAGTGCGTTGCTAAGTGAAGGGTATAGTGCGTTGCTAAGTAAAGGGTCCAGTGCATTGCTAAGTGCAGGATCCAATGCGTTGCTAAGTGCAGGATCCAGTGCATTGCTAAGTGCAGAGCCCAGTGCATTGCTAAGTGCAGGGTCCAGTGCGTTGCTAAGTGCAGGGTCCACTATAGACACTCTATAGTGGGCTCTGCAGGGTCTGAGATCTCTTACCTGTCAGCGCCTCTGTGGTCGCCGGGCCCCGACTCCTGTTCCGTCCCTGGGCCCCGACTCCTCTGCTATCGACGGGCCCCACCTTCTCTTACATCACTGGCCCCACCTGCTCTTAAGTCGCTGGCCAATGATGTAAGAGGAGGCGTGCCCCGCCTCCTCCATTCCGAACACAGCCCTCATCTGGCGCAGCGGCTGGCTGTCACTGACACATCTCCGCAGACAGCAAGCACCCCCACATGACATAGTGACCCAGGCGGCCCTAGCCGGGCCCCCCTGTGCCCGGGCCCCATAGCGGCCGCCTGGGTCGCTATGGCGATTGTTACGCCACTGGCGGTGAGACTCACATGCTGGCTTTTGAGTGTGCTGGGAAACTTTTTGCTGCGACCCAATTGTGGGTCATGATGTTGTGTTTAGTGAGTCGCCGCATGTCTTCCACCTTTCTAGGTGAGAGGCTTCTCAGGCTCCCCCTAGCGCCGCACTGTCAGTTCTCACGCCAAGCAGCCATTCAAAATATGCTGCCTGGCATCGAGCGTCCGTTTGAGGTGGGTTAGGCTAGAGCTATGGACACGTGGGAGTTCCATTCATTTATGCAATGCTTACAGCTCCCTCACGTCTTCTAGAGGTGCCTGGGCCGAAGTGACGTAATATTCTGGCTCCCGCAACCTCTACAGGGCGTGCAAGGGAGTTGTACAAGCAATGTACATTTGGATGGAGCTCTGTCTCAGCAAAACAGCCCACGCTGGACCCCAGGCTGAGGATCCACTCCAGTTGTAAGGTAGGGAGACTGGGTGAATCTTAAAAAAAATGTTTGTTTTTTTTGGAGTGCGTAAATGTGTGTGAGATTGTGCCTGTGGTTGTGTGTGTCTGTCAGTGTTTTTCAGGGCCCGTTCACACTAGTACAGTGCGTTAATTGAACAGTCCTGTCATTAACGCACTGTACCACGCAATCGCACCTACTACGCGTTCTGGTGTGGGAGGTGCATTGCCCGCACGGTACCGCAATGCCGTGCGTTCCATTGCAGTGCAACTTGGGTCGCGACTTAATGACCAAGGACAAATGTGTTTCCTGAGGTTGCACAGGTTGAGAACCTCTGTTCTAGCCTATCACGCCAGGGTTCGTGGGGACTCTGGATCAGACAAGTGTACGCAATGGTTAATAATGCAAATGCGCGTCCCTATTTCTCAGTAAATGCAGCGTGATAGGAAGATGATGAATACTAATAGTTTACTTCATGTCATAGTCCATCCAACTGTAAAAGTGTATGTAGATCTCGCACACAATTGTGTCATCCGGCCCCCATATCCCGAACACTTTATTACTTCTTCTCAAATGCTGGCAATGACACATCTGCTGAGCTGAGACCAATCACTTCCCGAGCCCTCATTTCCTCTCGATGATGATTCAATACACTCATGACTCACACTGGGAGGGGCTTCGCTATTCGCTTCTATAGCCATCCAATCAGAGGGAGCCGTTATTAACATATGCTTGTATGCAAATGAGTCCAGATATAGCCTGTGGTCCATGTGTGTGCTGAGTTGGACCGGGCTGTGTTCAGCGGGGAGGATGGAGTACATGCTGTGTCTATGGGCACTATGGGCTGTGCTGGGTAAGTTCATGTCTATTGGGGGGGACAAACTTATAGGATCAGCCCGGATCACCATCTACTGGATACCCTGCATCATTTGCCGTCTACCCAGGGAAATGGCTATTATATTGTTCAGAAAGTTTTCCTTTAACACTGTACGGTATATGCTGAGCATCTGTGCAACGGGATCTATGCAATGGGATCTGTGCAACGGGATCTCTACAAGGGTTTATTTGATAGCAGACCGGGATATTGCCGATCGGTTTGCCTAATGTTTTTATTTGTATACTTATTGATATGTACAATGGGATCTGTGCTTCACTTTCTAGCAGATCGGGATATTGCCGATTGTTTTATTCAATGTTTTACTTGCATACTTATTGATCTGTGTGTGGATTTTGTGTGTATGCATTTTGTACAGGGAGTGTAGGGTTGTACATAGACAGAAAAGTGCACCCATCCGCAGATGTATGTGTAGATGTAGATATATATATTACACAACCCACCCTCTCCCCAAACTTTTTACTAACTAGATCTGCATAATATACAAGACTATAGGGATATAGGGATTCTTAATTCTCCATAGGAGAATGATCCAGGGATTTATCCGATCCCCAAGTTTGGACAGAGACTAAACTTTTGATAGACTGTGTCTTGTGTCATAATCTATATTCTTATCAACTGTTTAACTATATCATGTATGTGAATTGTTTAATAATAATAATTATCTATCTATCCATCTGCCCCAGAATTCATATCTACATTCCTATCCAATAAAATCAATGATTTCTCTCCTATTTTCTAGTTGTTTTCTCCTTCCAATGTAAGGGATTAGGTTCAGGGAGTGGTTTGGAGGATCCAGTTCCCTATTATGTCTCTGCTTTCTTCTGTTCCTTGTCTTTTGTCTGCTATATGCTATATAACATTCAGTTGTCTGCAATGCTAATTCCCCTGCTAGGTTTATGTTATGTGCATCTTTGTTTTATGTGGATATGATGTCCATGTGCCCCCGGTCTCGCACCATTTATGCATTTAGAGCCAGATGGTTACTTTCTTATTTTTGTGCTATAATATTAGGCTTTCCTCTAGTAAAACCTTAATTACATTGAACAATGTACATACATTAAAAAAATAAATGTATTTGGTGGTGTTCTTCTTTTCCCTTTCATTGCAAGGTCTCTATCTTCTCTTCCTCTTTAAAGTCTGTTTAACTCTCCCCCCACCCCCACTTGCCTCTTCCATTTCCCTGCCGTCATCCTTTTCTCTTAATAGAATTAGCTTCTAATACACCATTGCTTTTACAGTGTCCAAAGTAAACTAGAGAGATGTTGTATTCCCTTACTCAATTTTACTGGAATATAAAAAGAGCTAATTGAAGACACATTTTGCATATGTGACTTGGGTATTGAAGAGCATTAATTGTAGCTTATATAGGAAGCTGTTTTCCCTGTGACTTGGTCTATGTATAAGATTAATCCCTTTTAATAGTATGATATATTATCCTTTATGTAGCCCATGCACGTATCAGGCTTCTATTCTTTGTTTTTCTTAATGTTGGGTAAACATTTAGTAGTTGAATGTGCATTTGTTTTGCTTGGAAAAATTTGCCTACCCTTCCTGTTGGATTGCATTTTAAGTCCTACTTCTGTACAAAAACTGTATTATGTGGTTTAATGTTTGTATTATGCATTTACTGTATATTGCAGTCTGACCCGCCACTTTGAGCTTTTGCCAATGTCACCAGGGTGACAATAGTGAGATGCCACAGTAGTGGCGGGGTTCATGGACTATGTACGACCGCCTCAGTATCTTATTTTTCCTGATTGTTTCATTTATAAAGCTGTTAATTATGCATTTAAAATCCCAGTAGAGAAAGTGAACTGTCCTCCCTAATGTAAAGAAGAACTCTGGGTACATTTTTTTAAAACTAACTCTTGCAGTGGGGCTACCCCTGCACTGCAAATGTTAAGTGCTCATTTTGGTGTAGGGCTGAAAAAAAAAGTTATACTCACTCTATCCTCTGAGCTGGTGTCTCTCCCCCTTCACTGCAGCAGTCTAAGGTCATGTGAGTCATCACGTTCTATACACAGTGTATAGAAAGTGAGGATGCAGGAGGAGTAGACAAGCATGCAGGGAGAACTGTCACAGCAGGCCAGCTCTGAGGATCAGGTGAGTATAACTTTGTTATTTTCAGCCCTAGACCAAAACTAGTACTTAACCCTTACAGTGTGGGGTAACCTCACTGCGAGGGTTAATACAATTTACCCAGAGCTCTTCTTTGCATCTCAAAGACTAAAATGTGTTTTGCGGACATGTTGGAACTGAGCTATAACATCTAGAGCAAATTTATTTAAGGGGGTTTTCCATTCCCAACGCATCTGTTCTGTTCATTTATAACCTGCAGTAAAACATAAACGTGGAATCTATGTGGTTATCAAAGGAATCTAGGGCTGCAACAACTAATCGACATAATCGATTATAATCGATTATTGAAAAAGTTGTCAACTTTTTCAATAATCGATTAATCGGCTTCCGATCAGTTGGCCCTGTTCACAGCTCCACACGCTGTGCGCCGCACCTCCTCCCCACCTCACGCTCGCCGCTGCCAGACCCGCTCGCATCCACGCTCCACACGCCGCACCTCCTCCCCGCCTCACATTTCCTGCCCATCCACATCCACGATCGGCACAGGGACGCGGGGAGATGTAGTAAAGAGGAGCAGGTGTGGGGGTATGACAGCTGCTGATAGACAGGTCCGATCTCAGAAGCACGTTGCTGGAAGACTGCACTTTCCCACACATGGTGCTCTATAATGTATTGCTGGGATTTGTATTTCTCTATAGCTGATGGTACATTGTGCTGTATATTATACAGAGGAATACAAATCCCAGCAATACATTATACACTGTATGTATAATGTATTGCTGGGATTTGTTGTACTCCTCTATAGCTGGTGATATTCTGCATTGCGCTGTATAGAGGACTACAAGTCCCAGCAATAATACATTATACAGCGCAATGCAGAATACCACCAGCTGTAGAAGAGTACAACAAATCCCAGCAATAATACATTATAAAGTGGTACAATGCTAAATACCACCAGCTATAGAGGACTACAAAACCCAGCAATAATTGATTATACAGCGCAATGCAGAATGCTGCCAGCTATTATGTACTATTGCTGGGATTTGTTGTATTCCTCTATAGCTGGCGGTATTCTGCATTGTGCTGTATAATGTGCTTTTGCTGGGTTTTGTAGTCCTCTATAGCCGTTGCCATTCTGCATGCATTGCTGTATAATTTTACACTTTCCATTTCACTATATTGCACACCACACTATCTTTTTTTCTTTTTTACTTCCACCGGTCCAAGCTTGCTCCTGTGATGGACTACAACCTTAATACAAACTAGTAGTCCTATCACTGGAGCCATTTTTTAAACTTTATTTTATAGTTTATCCGATTAACCGATTAATCGAACTTAATAATCGGCTAACTAATCGATTTTGAAAATAATCGTTAGCTGCAGCTCTAAAGGAATCTGCTTCATTTATATATAAGTATTTATAACTCTGGTTTGTTATATGTTTTTGTATACAGTAATGTGGATTCATCTAATGGCTTTTCAATGGCCTTGCCATCCTAACATATACTAAACTTAATTGTTGTTGGTTGGAGTATTTGCTTAGGCTGTAAATTACCCAGAATTCCAGGTGATACTGTTTGGTAATAATCTGAGGTTGTAGTACCACACTGAAAAAACCAACGCATTTTGGGTGTCAGAGAGAGGCCCCTTCATCACGGTGTGAAGGAAAGTGTTAACTACTGGACTTAAAAGTAAAAATTAGTACAAACTAAAGCAATTGGCATTTTTTGGTCATCTCCTTGAAAAACGGATGTCTCAGCAGTCTGCCAGCTGTATGTCAAACCTCTTGGATGATAGTTTCATTTGAATACTGTCGGAAACATATCAGCAGGATATATTGGTATATATAGATCTTTCTAAATCATACGGGTTGTCTGACTCTGGTATTGCCTTTCTTTATGCTCACATTATTCATTTTGTTATTGTGTAGGTTGTTCAGAAATGGTGAATCTTCCCCATGTTCAGACATATGAAACAGTGATTCCTCGAAGGTTGCACCAAGTCTTTTCAAAGAGGGATCTCCATGGTTCAGGGGTAGGTACTCGGCTATGAATTATGTTTTATAAAAACAACACAGTTGAGTGCTGTTATTAGGAGCAGTTGCAGTTTTAGGACAAGCTTTCCGGGGGTCTAAACTTCTCTTCTAATGTCCAAGCACTCGTCTACTACCTTCTTCTAAGGTCCACCGCTTGGACCTTAGAAGAGAAGTCTAGACCCTTAAAAGCTTGTCCTAAAAAATGCAACTGGGTGCGACTGTACATAGCTGTGTTGTTACAATAATGCACTAATACGACTACAATAATTTTTTTAAAATTTTATACCAATAAATGTCTGTACCTTTTTAAATATACATTGGAGTGTGCTATACATGGTACTGAAGAGGTTAAACTAAAATGGTATGCCAGTGAACTTTCTGTGTGCAGGAATGACAGGACAAATGTAATGGTCTATCCAGGAACTCAACCCATAAACCATTTTGTGGAGACAAAGTTCATGCTCTGATCTGGCTTAGCCCCCTCCTAACTCAGAGCATACAAGGCTATTTTTCATGTCACTGAGATATCTGAGGTTCCTTGGGACTTTGACTCATTCTGTAGAGGGGGGGTGCCCAGCTAGGAGATGTCTGTAATGTAAGATGTCTGCTCATAAGCCCCTGTTACTCACCATGAAAAATGACACTGCTTTAAGTTTGCATTTCACAGATGACAAAAGTAAGCTTTGAACTTCACGTTGTTCCTTAGTGAGTCCCATGAGTAAGATACTAAATAGTGTAAAAATATGCTAGTATATGCTTCCCATATATAAGGGCTCAAAGTATATGTAAACCCAATCACTTTACTCCCATATAAGATTTAACATGTTAATGTCAATTTGAAAATGATTTTCAGTCTAATCACATCAGCAGTTTTTATTAAAATAATACCTGACCATCCTGCCATGAAAGTCCTTGTTACTTCCTATCATAGGGTAAGAGTACTTTGTCCCTGTCTCCCAATTGTACTCCTGCCTTGTCTCCCTGATGGAGACTACAATGCATTTTATGCAGGTGTGGTATACTGTGTGTGTGGTCTAATGTTGTCACCACCCAGCAACCCACCCTGAGACAGAAAGTGGCTGCAAAGAGGCTGCAAGAAAATAAACCGTATTAAGATTCAACAAATAATGAAAAAGGGTCAAAACAAGTTTTTTTTGTTTTTTCATAAATGGCAATTGTTTATGATGCACCATGCATTAGCAAAACCAGTTAGGGTTTATATCTTCTTTACGTATGAACTAAGCACTCAAACTCAGAGTTGCAGGTACATAGTAAAAGAGAAGGCCTCTGTTATATCATTGCACCTCTTAAATTCTGCAATAATGATAGTAATACAGAAGAAGGACCATGGACAGAATATACTGGACACTGGGGGATCAAAGCCAGGGTATTTTCAACAATTTACTGTTCCGTAAAGATGAATTGTTTATCCACAGCAAAATGCAGTAACAATATGTAAGGTGGTGAAGGTGTATTTCTGAATGTGTTCTATGTTTAGCAAAAGTACCATATGGACTATCCACCATGGGCATTATTTACAGAATCTTGGCAGTAATGGAACCATGTCCATTATTATTATTGGAGTGCCACTAGGTTTTCCTTCATGTAGCAAGTACATTCTTCTCATGATAAGATAAGCCAGCTTGGCTTTTACTTGTTTAACACTGTCACATGATTTGAATAGATTTTTGGTTCTCTGATTTTTGACCCTTTCCATAAACTCGTCTACCTGTGGGATAACATGAAACTTGCTGCATTGGTTGACAGTGTATTAACCACATTGAGATACCTATAGTCCAAGGATGGACAAATCCCAGCATCTAGGTAGCCAATGAGCCTTAAAAATTACAGCTGGCCCCTTACTTTTGAGGGTTTCTCTCGTTGTTCTGCTCGCTCCTGCATTGGACAGATTGGCTCCTGAATTCAATTAGTTTGTCTGCCCCTGCTATTGTCCCATGCATAAGACCAGAGGGCAAGGCGTACTGGCAGACATATTAAGAAGACATCAGCTATAGAAGAAGTGCATCCGGATCAGCTATAATATCTGATGCAGAGCCTCACGCCATGACAGCGAATTAATTTATATATGATGAAATATAGGGAGACACTGAAGTACAACCCAAACCTTTCTTGGGGCTTTCTTGGTGACAACTATGTAGTTGTGCTTAAAAAACAGAAATCGGACTCCACTCATACCAGCATGTGGTTTTTATTGTATATACCCTTCAATTAAATACTGTTAATAGATCTGCTCCCATGAATGTGCCTATGCTGTGTTCTGTATTCTGTTTATTAGTAAGGATATGTGAGGCAGTTAAGTTTATAACTTGCACTTAACATTTCCCTGCTAAGGGGGTCATTGTTGTCTCACTTGGTACATGTCAATTGTATTCAATGCTAAGTCTAAAGGCAACAACTAGTAGCAATTTAAATAAACCATTGAGACGGATGTAGATCAGCGGTTCACAACCTTTTCTATGCCCCACAGCCCTAGGAAATATTTAATGTTTACACTGGGTAAAAGCCTCCACAAAAGTAATATCACATTTGAAGATGAAGAAGTCCAACGTCTAATGTTTGAACCACATATTGATGGATTGTGCAATCTGTATTTATCATCTTACTTGCCCTCCTGTCTCCAACATTTTTGGATATTTGAAACTTTTTTTCTTTTGTAGACAGGGTGGGGCAGGTTTACAATCCATGTTAGGTTTGTACTTTTATTTGGACACCATTAAGCTGGCCATACACCTATAGATAATTTGCAGATTTTCTATGGCCAGATGGAAAAAGTGCAACAGATTGCTCCATCTACGCTAAACTGTGTGGATGGAGGAATCTCCCGCTGGGCCAAGCTTCAGTATCTTGCTAATCGGCCCCGCTTGCTGTCAAAATACCTGAACATTGCCTGCATCCAACCAGATTTTTCAGTTATTTTGACATTCAGCGGGGCCGACTAGCAAGATACTGGAAGCTTGGCCCAGCGGGGAGATTCCTTCATCCACACAGTTTTGCCTACATGGAGGAATGTGTTGCACTTTTTCCATCTGACCATAGAAAATCTGCAGATAATCTATAGGTGTATGGCCAGCTTTAGACCTTGTTAAAACAGGCTTCAGTTTGTACAAGATTTTAGAAACGTTTGGCGAGCTTCGAGCAGCTTTCTTGAAGCCTTTAAAGCACCCTTCAACTCCAGTTTGGGAATGTTAAACGCAGATCTCAATAGGAGTGATGGCTGCCATTTTAAATACACTTGTAGCAGGCTTTCAACAAGCTTCAAGTAGTGCCGAAGATTACTGAAGACTTCTAGCAGCTTGCCTAAAGTGACAGTCAGCATGCTCATTAAGATCTGTGTTTAACATTCCCAGCTAAAGGGCACTTGAAAACTTTCAACAACGCTTGCTGAAAGCTCTGTAAAAGCTTGGTGTACACCCTGCTCTCATGAAATCTGATGTCTGGGTGGACAAGACCTTAGAGAGTTTCCCTCACTTACTGTTCTGGTGATAATAGTTTCATCCGATAGGAAATTAGTTCAAATCTCTCGCAGCAACAAAGATAGAAATAAAAATGCCTTTTTAGTAGAGTAGGTGACTTTTTTTTTTTTTTTTGCTGTCAATGTCCCTGGTGGAGATTATACACTTCCAGTTTGAAAACCGTGTCACTGTAACAGTGAATTATGATAAATCTCTTTCGCCCGGGGTAGTAGTAAAACCTAGGCAGGGGTTTTAGCCGTTCCCCACTCTATCCAAAACTAAAATGAAAAGTTTTAGCTGGAAATACACTGACCACCCCCAAACATCCCCCCCCCCCTTCC